TCAACTGCAATCCAGAATAAACTAATTGGTTGAAACATTGATTCAAAGTAATTTTAAAAAGTTAAACATTTGCGAAGTAAACTTACACGGGGTCTTGAAGAGAAAACTGTTACAAAGCGTGGCTGAATCAATAAATCGCGAGGAACTGACATGCTGTGAAGATGGAGGAAAAAATACCCTTCTATTGACGGCAAAACATTTAAAAAGTCACCCAGCATTTGGTCTTTTCGTGATTATCTTTGTGAAGCTCGTGGCAAAACGTTTACGCAATGTCACACTCTTCACACTCATAAAAATACCATCGTAAAATATTAGAAACAGAAAAAATTCCAAAAGAGGAATAGTGTGTGTACATTAGTGCCAACCGTTTTCCTACGATGTGGGAAAACGGAATTTGAACCTCCAATTTCGTTTTTCGTTTACCCACGCCATCGGAAAAGGGAATTCGAGATTCCAGTTTCGTTTTCCCTTTTCCTGTTACATTGAAAATGGAATTGCAACTTTTATTTTCGTTTTCCAACAACTATGGACAATAATACTCTAATAAAAATTTTAAAAACGATCTCTGGCTAAAAATGTTTACAGATATACGAGCTCTCGACTGTTAGATCTACAGTCTTCGACGGGTAAAGATGAATGACGAAATATGAATATAAATGAGTAAAACTAAAAATAATGGATTATGCAAATTAATTATGAATATGTGTAAAAAGAATGTTGTATTGCCCAGGGAGTGGGCAGGAATTGTTGACAGCATTTGGAGTCACCGTAGTATGCCGTTGTGGCCAATCTCTGCATGGAAGAGATCGAGGAATCTGCAATCAATGCGTCACCTGTCACACCTAAAAATTGGAAACGGTATGTTGATGACAGCTTCTGCATTATTAAAAAGAATGGAGTTACAGCCTTCCATGACACACTCAATTCAATAGACACTAACATTTCCTTCACCATCGAACATGAATGTTATTGAAAAAATTTTGTGGATGTCTACAGAAAACCAACGCATACGGACAGGTACTTAGACTTTAATTCTCACCACGACAGAAAACACAAAGTGAGCACGGCAGCAACCCTCTTGCATAGAGCGTTAAATCTACCTAACACATCTGAAGGG